AATTTTAAATAAAAAAACATCATGTGCTTTTTTGTGTTTAATAAATCCCCTTTTGTACGTTATTTAACATTAAAATCAAACCCTTATATAAGAAGCCATTACGTGTGTGTTTTCATGCAAAACATCTCAATTTTTTTAATTGTTGAACTTTTGGAATTATATATAGTGACAATGTGGCATATAATTGCCTTATTTTATTAAAATATTAAACTCCACATCAAAAGTTTTTTAAGTGGTTTTTTTTATAACAAGATAGAAAAATAAAAAAGGAAAGAATAAAAACTAGGCCACAAGGAAACAAATTCTCATAGCATCGCCTATATGATTATTCCAAGGCTTTATAGGGGTTATGTAAGTTATATAATTAAGAATTCAACTGTTTATCAAAAATTGATAACTCAAATAATTTGATATTTTTATATTTTTTTTAACTAAAAATTGAAGTTTATTTTTTTACTTTAGATATGAAATCGTGACTAAAAATATCACTTTACTCTTACAAGAATCGATCCGATAGGAATAAGTTATATCATCTTATTAAATAAAAAAAAAACAGAAAGAACCCAACAATCAAACCTCTCATTTTAGTAAGCAAAATTAATTGTTGTCTCCATGTATACTTCCCAATCAAGATAAACTCATTTGCATATAAATAAATGTATTAAGTTTACTTTTACAGTCATTTTCTTTTAAGTGTTTATCATATGTTGTTAGAATAGGTGGTGATGACTTGCAACAGAGAAAAAATATCACAAGAGAAAAATATTGGTGACTAAGGAAATGTCAGAGAAAAAAACATAACTTTCTGAAGCATATGTGAAACACCAAATTTTATGTCCAACCCTCGCGTGAATCAATTAAGAAATTGGATATAACAAAATGTCTTGATGAATCTTCAATGTAGTCACTATTCCCTCGATATGATTTGCACACCCGCAATCAAGCTTGTTGTCAATTGCTGTTTAAATAATAATAATAATAATAATAATAATAATAATAATAATAATAATAATAATAATAATAATAATAATAATAATAATAATTTTCTTAGTACTCTATGTGCATAAGGAAAGAAAGGAAATGATTTCAATGCAAATAGTTAGTTCCTCACTATTTTTTTTTATATACTTTATTGTATTTGTTGTGTGTCATACTTGGTAGCTTACTATGATCTTTTTCGGATGCAAATGGGTTCTAATTATATATCAATTTATGTCTTTTGAAAAAGAGATATCACATTGAGACATATTCGATGACTTTGGGTAAATAGACATATTTCACAATTTTTTATGAAAACACATTTTTAATAAAAGAGTTATTCCTACTTTCATGAAAGTATACAACCTTTCATATTTTATCTTTCTCAGGGGTAGTGTATGGAATTAGATCCACAGACCAGCTTGTAAAACCTACAGACCAAGAGGTTAACAAGCTTGTTTTTTTAAAATCTGCAGAAATTCAGCTCGTCCAAGTTCGCAAATTTTGCGGGTTAGTTCATTTATTGCATAAGAATTATTGTTTTTGTTAGTTTTTTTATGACCCTAGCTAAGATAAGAGCAATGAAAAATAATACTGAGAAAAAATAAGGAGCCTAGTCAGTTAGGTAATTAAGGCATGTAAATCCCTTGCTATCAAAATCGATTTTGGCGAATAAAAAAAATTATTGAAAATAAAACTTAAATGTCATTGATGACTGTTAAATTCACTAAGGTTGCGTTTAGATAAGAAATGTTAGAGATTCAATAAATTTAAAATTTTTGAAAATTATTTTAATTTCAATTTTTATCACTCATTAAATTTTTTTTATAGATAAATTAATTCAAAATTCTCAAATTTTAAATTCTTAATTTCTATATATAAGATGATTATTAATTTATACTAGAAAAAATTGATTTTAAATAAATAAATATATATTTAAATTTTAAAATTAAACTTTATAAAATAATTAGTAGCTAATTTTGAAATATTTTATTAATTTTAAAAATAAATATTTAATAATTAAAAATATTATTGATAGAGAAGGAAAGATAGGGGATAGGTAAAT